CAAAGCATTCAGTCATTGCACAAAATCTGTGGTACATTTTTAACAGGTGTAAACATCCTCTGTTCTGTAGATAAATTACTTAGGCTTACAAGATTACAAGTACTTCAATGTATTAACAAAGAGTGTGGGGGAGAAGACACAAAACTTCTTTATGATGCAATGTTTCACCAGAGCTCATTTATGTTCCTTTTTTTTTCTTAAATGCCAGGCTGGGATTAAGGTGAGACAGGATACTGTTGGCTTCCCAGGTGGAAAGTGCAGGACATACTTGCCCACAGAACAGGCTTGAGTTTTCTTTTTGTGCTGCTCTTTTCTTATGCTTATGAAGCCTGAGTACGTTAAAAGCTGAAAACTAGCAATGTAACTTGCCTAAATGCCTTTAGAAAACCAAGAACTCAGTCACTGCCAAGAGAAACATGACTTCCTGAAACTGGACAGCATTGCTTGGGTTTCCTTTGAAGAAAAAAAAAAAAAAAAAAAAAAAAAAAAAAAAAAAAAAAAGGAGGAAAAAAAAGGAGAGCGAGCCAAATGCCTGAAATATATAAGACAGGGTAATACAGGAGTTAAGGGGAAGCTACATAGGAAGCAAAGCAAAGCCTAAAATAAAGAGCAGGAATGGAAAACTAAAAATAACAAACAGGAAAGTGTAACACAACTGCAAGGGCTCTGGTGCATTCTCCCCCAGCATTGTACCATTTTTTTTTCAGGAAAATACTAATAGTGTGTTTGGATTTCAATGGCATTCCAAACTATTATTTGTTCTTCAAAAATAGATGATTCTCTTGTGAAGAAAGATATTTTCAAGTAATGTTCATTGGATTGCAGTTGTTTCAGTTTATCAAAAAATACTTTATTCAATCTAGGTGTTTGCAGAACAGAAAAACTACATCAATTATGTAATTTTTTTAAAAATTAGTCTGTCTCCTTAGAATAGTGAAGATAAACTCACGCCTAATCAACTGTTGCCCTTAATTTCAGTTGAGGTTTTACTTAATAGCTTTCAAAAGTAGGAAGGGAGCAAGCACATGAATCTGAGGTGCAACAATTTTCGAAGCATAGTGAATGGAAGGGGATCAGGGAGGATTAGCAGCACCATGTACTAATAAAGATAAGGAAATCTCTGTCTTTCTCTTCATCCAAACACAAGTTTGTTTGTTTACACACAGCATTTTGTTTGTTTACACAGAGCATTTCAAGGAAGGCAGCTAAGGGACATGGGGCTGCCGGAACTGTGGCTGGATCCCTGCTGGTGCCTGCAGAAAAGCCAGTCTTTCTAGGTGTGGGTGCCACACAACCACCCAACCATGACTGAGGTACTCAGCACATGTACAGGGGTCACTGGCAGTTGCTACAAAGGAGAGAGGAAAGAATACTTCACCATTTGGATGTCTTGTTTTTTTTAACATCTATTTGATTGCTAAACTCACCCATTCAAATAACTAAGCCAAGTAGTTGAGTTGTGCATGGTTTCTGGCTACCCAGAAGATAGATGGTGCCACTTTTGGAGGGGAAAAAAAGCCTGAACACACCAGTTTGTCGGCCACAGTTTCCTTGGACAGTGACAAACCCTTGTGAATATCATATTAAGATGGGCCAAAGTGAATCATGATGTTTGTGAAGTTATTGGTCCAGTGTGTGAGATTCCTATTTTTGGCACACACAAGAACAGGAAATATTTACCAATTTTGCAGGTGTCAGGAAATACTTTCAAAGTGCTGCTATGACCTGACAGTCCATTTAAATAGGTAGCCAGCATGTGCAGAGGTGATAATACATATATTTTAATTAAAAATATATACTTTGATGTGTTTGCTCCAATATCTGTGTCCTAGCAGGTTAGAGTAGCAAATTCATATTGTTAATCACACTGTAATGATTAGGCAGTGATAAATCTCACAATACAAATGTGAATGTTTTATGTAATAAAATCATACATTAGAGTACATTAAAGATGTTTCTCACAGTTGATGTTGATAAGACTGTTTTTCATTAAAGGTTTATCTACACTGGAAATATATTTCTTACATATTATTTGAATTGTGGGTGAAATACATCTGAATATATTTCAGGCTTCTCTATTTTGTGCATTTCAGACAATACTCTAAAACATTTGATTATGTATTGTTTGAACTGTAATAGTATCTACAATACCCTATAATACAGACTGTAATAAAACCTGCATTAAAGCACAGTTCTTATCAGTGTCATCACACATTAGATAAAATATAAGAGTCATTGCATATATTACATAGCTTACAGTCCAGTAGTTGATAAAGTAACAGCTGCCTCCCAGAAATGAGGCCTATTTGCCAAACATATTCATACTGTAAGTAACATGATCCCACTAAAACCAAATTAAATACTAGATGACAGGACCATATTCGGTGATGAACCATTTCACAGCTTTTACTTCAGGAGTAGTAGTGGATTTGGCAGTGTCAGGTTAACAGTTGGACTCAAACAATCTTAAAGATTGGTGTAGTCCCATTGTCACTGGTAGCAGCAGATAAACGTTTCAATGGATAAAGGATAAATAAAAAGATGAAATACTGTAATTTCATTATTAAATATATTCTGTGTGCAACAAACTATCACTGAAGCAACTGAAGAGATGCAAAAACATTTTATAAATTTGATGGAAGAGTAAAAATCATCCAAAAATGTTTCCAAGGCACGCCTCTCCTTCTCCTCCTTTCTCCTGACTTGCTGTTTGTGGATTCATAGGTTAGTCCTGTATGGCAAATGAAAGAGTATCAAGAATTTGCAGGCTCTGCTCCAGGCATGGTAATGGCCAGGCCAACAAGAAAAGACAACTTCCAAATCCTTCCTCTACAGACTGGCCAAAGAGTAGCTGTTCCAAGTAGTCAGCTAGGATCCAACCACCTTGTTTTGAAGATGAAAGTGGTTGAAATGGTGTAGACACAAATCTTTCTGTACATGGGACACCACTTATTTTCTGCAAACATGAAAGGTCACAGAAATTTGCTGAAATAGATGCAGACATTGTGAAATTGTTTCTGTGAATTTGAGAGCAAAAGCATACCTAACCTACATGAAACATGGCTGTACAATCACCAGCAGGCTTACTCTGTCTTAATAGACAGACACAATAGACATTGATGCTTTCAGTTGTTGGGTTTTTTTATTGAACAAGAATAATATTACACTCTTTACAACCAACTGACTTATTAGATTTACATTCAAGAACTCATAATGTCATTTATGACACTGTTGCAAAATATTAATAATGTATGCAGTATTTACTACATTCTTAAAATATTTCTCATCAGTCTGTTGGAAGACACAAGTTTGATCCTGCTCTCACTGAAATTGAGAAAAAAAATACTTTTGATATCAGTAGATTAGAATCAATTCACTTGCTAGTAAATAGCCCAAGATAACATTATTCCCTCTCAGACCCTAACATACTGGTTAAAATGTGGTATTATGCTAGTTTGAGATTTATGTTTGTGTGTCTTCAATTATCATTGCAAGAGAACCTGCACTTTCAGCCTGACATTTGGATGTCTACTGATGTTATCATCCTCTTGTTCCAAATCAACATGATTCATGCCTGCTTTCCCAGGTGAAAGCATTCTGCTTTCATAGATGTTGACTTTGGATCTCTTTAAAGACATCAGAGTTTCTGTTGTTCTTAGTTTTAAAAGCATGCTTTCAGATCCTGAACTAAACTCTGGCTGCTATATTGTGTGTTCCCTCCTTAACTGCAGTCATTTTCAAAGGAAATGCTAAAATCAAGCCACACTTCCAATGAGAGTGCTCTGTGTTACAAGGCTGCTCCTAAACTCATGGCATCCAGGTTCAGTCTGACATGGCAACATCAATTTTTGTTATGTGTGGCTCGGGTTGTTTTCAGACATGTTAGCAAGCCATTTTCAATTGTGATTTTTGACTTGCATGTGTATCATCCAACTTAGACTGAATGAGGGGCTGCCCGATCCTGCAACACTCTAAAACATTTAAGTTTTTCTTCTGGCTGAAATGGGACCACTTGCTCATGCAATTGAGAAACAAAGGAATGGGTACCAAAATACTGTAGTCTGTGCTGCACTATCACTTGCTGAGGGTCCAAGACTTCCCTGGTTCAAATAAACTCCCTGTGAGTCACATCTGGGCCATAGCCAGCAGTGAAGATAGAAAGCATGAAGGTCCTTTTGCTGGCCTCTCACCATTCTTCCAGAAGAACTGCAGGTATCACCTTAATGACACCAACTAGCTGGTTTATAGAAACATATATATTTAAATAATGTTAAGCAGCTTCTTTTGTTTCAGATCCCCTTCTACAAATCGGTAGAATTTACCAATCTGCTGTTTCTCTGTACAAAATTTAACTTTAGAAATTCAACTAAATACAATATATATCTGCAGCATCTTGCCTAAGATATTCACAATGTATAAACTGAAATACTGGGTGTTTTCTCTCTGAACAAAAGCATATTTGTCTCCAAGGAATTGTCACCAAACTTCCAAAAACCAGAAAACTGTTAACAGCTAATATTGGTTTAATTAATTTACACTCTTGTGCTTTTGTTGTTATTATTGTTATTGAACAAGGGTGTTCCTCCCATCTGAGGTGTTCTTTATATGTGTTTCTTTCATAATGGTTCCACATCAATAGTATCACTCACCCAAACTGTCCCCTTCATTCAGTGAGAGCTTTTCCAGCACCAGGTTGGCAAGAGTCAGGCTCTGGCACTATTTAAATGATCACGTTGAGTTTTCAGTATTACTATACATTCAAAAAGCCATAATACATTTCTCTGTTCAAATACTTATCAAAACAAATATCAAAAGTCATATACACTGTACAGTCTATTTTTAAGTAAACATTTTTCTCATTAAAAACAGGTCACATTTGAGCTTCAGAGATTACATATTCATACATTATAGATCCACTTTGTTCTTAAAGTGTGTTGTTGCATATTCAATAATCTGTGAGAAATGCATTCACTTGAAAGTCTTACAAGTGTAAGTAAATATCAGCGAGGATTTAGCCATTTCATTACTGGAGAGCGATTAACTTTCTCTTTAACGAATTCCTCTTTTACAGAATTTCCATCCCCTGATGCCATGTCATTGTCTGAAAAAACCACAAAAATAAAGGTGGATTTCATGAACATGAGAGCTTTAAAATATTATTCTGCAGCAATGTCCCTGGTTTTACAAATACTTCAGAAAATCCTTAACTGACATCTTTGCAGAAAACTCAGTAAATTACCCCCAATTACCTAGCTGCAAAATTTCTACCAAATTAAGGCAGATGTCATATCTATTTTCTAATGGTTTAAGCATAAGGCTGATGAGTTGACTTCAGTTTCCAGTTCTGACTGTAACACTCACTCCAGTGTGACACAGGACCAAGAAACACATCCTCAATAACTACAGCAGTAAATTAAACTCCCCTGCAACTATTCTCTGACTGAGGCCAGCTGGCATGGAATAGCCTGGTCTGTGCCGCTAAACTCTCTTACTCTCCAAAAATAGGTAAAAGATACTCAGTTTGTCAACTGGAAACAGTCCCTGGCTGATGCTGATTTCTGAGCTGTGACTGAGGCGGTCTGGCACAACTAGCTGGCCTGGGACAGTGTGCTGTCCACTGCCATCCTGTTAGACCATGAAAGGAGTAAAATTGCAATGTATAGGACTTCTGACACCTTTAAGTTTGTTAGGTATATGTAGATATAGTGGTCTTTATAAAACATATGATCAGAAACTTGCCTGTTTAAAACAGAAGCATTTACAGCTGTTTGGATTCACTGAAGATCTCTTAAATGCTATAGTTACTTCTGAAGACCACTTTTAAATTAAACCATGTGTGACCACCTCATGGAGTACTGCTCGTAGTGTCCCTGATCTGCTAACAGTGACAGACTTCTGAGAACAGAAGTAATTGGGAAACTTTTGCGAGGGTAAAAAACACTGTTTTTTTTTCCATGCAGTGCATATCTCATCCTGGCTAGGATAAGTCAAGCAGCTAAACATTGAGTCAGAGAAAATTTGGGACCAAAGGCAAGTGGGGAAGAGAAAAGGGGAGGAGGAACAATGCATATAGACCAGGAAGGTTTGAATACAGATAAAACACAGATACAGAAAAAAGAAGGCACCCTTATTATTTTGACACCCTCAGTAATAAATAGAAAAAGGAAAGGCAAAAGAGCACAATCATGTAGAAAAATACAAAAATATCAGGGCTGATTGATCTTGTAAGAGTTTTTTGGAGATTTTAAATGTGATATAAGCTGCAGAAGTTTGCTTCAATCTAACTTTCTTTAAGCTGAGAAAGGGGGAAAGATAAATCTTGTATTAATACAGCAAACTCTACACAGCTTAATATAACAGAAGAAAATTTAAAATTCCTCACAAATTGCAGTTTGAGAAGAAATTAAATCCAAAGACCTTTAGGTGAAATCCTATAAAAGATCCCAGTAGACCTAGATTTAAACCTCTGGATATTTTTGGAATTTTTTTTCTTCTACACATTTGTATTTATTTTGGTTTGTGTTTATATTTAGGGTAAACTTCATTCAGACAAACATACTTCAGTATCATCAGGTGTGAAAAAAGGGGAAAATTTTTATCCCACCTCTAAAAACTTCAGTGATCTTTTCTTGGTGCATCAAAACCACTCCAGCTTGTGACACTCCCTTGTTTTTATTTTTGTCTTAATTCTGGACAGATCTATTACAAGCTTCAGACATAAATATAAAGGAAATAATTTAATCCAGTGATACTGTGACAAATGACTACAATAAAACATTTAATAAAACCATTCACTGACAACTGAAAATATATAAAGCTCTGTCCTCATGGAGAAAAAGAAACATTGTTTTTGCTATGTATTAGCTAGCACTAGTAAATGCAATGTAGTGAAATCCTGAACTGACTGATGCAAATCCTAGCACAGCCTCCCACTGCACAGGTGATGTACACCTGGAACATGCAACAGTTGCAAAGTATTTCAAAATGCTTTTAGCATGTGTCACAGCTCGCCTAATTCATTGCTACATGTTAAGGAAGCTGCCAATAAGAAAAATAAACCTACCTTGTGTTGTTAATGGTTTGCACAGCCCCACCAAAGTACCCACCACTCACATACAGAGTGTTAGTAGATCATGTGCAAGGTGTTTTCTGCTAAAATCCACTGTCCCACAAAGTCTTACCTGTGTGTGAAGATATTTTTCGTCGATTTGGAGGCTTTGAAGCAGACAGTTGAAAAAATGGGAACGTCAGACACTTCCCGGTTACTCTATCACAGATGCCAGAGGGACAGTTGCAGGCTTTCCTGCATTCCATTCCATAGCTACCATAGGGACACTCTGGAAAAAAATATAACAAAGCTGTTCTCAGTGATCCAAGTCAGCTGCTGTCTTAATAGTTGGTCTGCTTGAAAGTGGAAAACCTTTGAGGTTAGCTAGACTGCAGCTACAGGATTTCAGCATGCTGACTGCTTTTTAAAAAGTATTTTCCAATATTATCAAACCTTGACACATTTAACAAACATAATTTCATTTCCTGTAACTTATTTATAATGTGCTACTGGTAATTCTTCCCTGAAAGACTCCTAGATTTAAGCACACTCTTACATTATATTGTCTTAGTTAAAGGCAGTATGAATACGTAGGTATACAACTATAGAAGATTTAGTTAAAGAAGTAGCATTGAGTTTAGAAGGAAGATGACTCCAGAAGCTCCCTGAACTCACTATGTGGTTCACTATTATATTATCGGACTTTCATGACCATTGATATTTGGAGCTGCAGTCTGATACTTGTGCAGGCTTGTTGTGACCTGGGACAGTAGTCTGGGTGGAAGATGCAGCCTGAACCTGAGGAGCTATCCAGCAAACTTACCATCCATCTGGAGATGCTACTGGGTCCTGGGGAGTAGCCTCTCACCCAACACCTTTTCAGACAGACAGATTCTACCTTCCCATGGCAGACAGTTCACTCTTTAGGCTTCATCTCCAGCCAAAAGAGTAAGCATGCCCTGAAGGGATCTCTGGCACTAAGGCAACTCGCTGGTTATGCTGCATCTGGTCACATAATGCCCTAATTCAAACCTCACATTCCTGAGCAAGCTTTAGGAGGAGCACTACAGAGTAGTTGCTAGAATGGGAGCAAATGTTTTCCGAAGAAAATTAAGTCAAGTACAGGAGATTTGCCCTATCCCATAGCTGACACATATCACATGCTGGGTCATATAACTTCCCAGAGGGTTTAAACTAAGGGCTACAGCCCTTGTCTTCCTCAGCCTTGCTGTTGAATAGGATACCTTCCCAAAACCATTACTAAAGAGGCAGAGCCTGGGAAAATCCATGTCCTTTCCAAACCCACCAACAGGTGATCATTCCCAGAAGAGGTGTGAGATATCCCAGGAAAAAGACCTTTATGTTCAGACTGTCCTTGCCAACCCAAGGTACATGATCACCTTAAATGGCAAGGTCTGGAGAGTTTCTGATTCACCTCCTAAGGGCAGATGAATGATTATTCAGGGCTGGACCAAGGAACCATCTTGCCCAGGCCTCCACAAAGCACTTAGGAAAGGTGACATAGTAAGCACAAATGATATCTCTCTCCTCATTTTGTCTCTCCTTTTCAGCTACGAGACCTTCCAATCCAAACATAGTTTCTTTGCATATAACACCCCACAATAAAATTACGCTTTTCAGTTTGTTCAGTCTCCTCTTGAGTGAATGCAAATTTTAACTTTGCCATACAGCCTAGGTAATATGAAAATCAAGCTAAAGCACTACAGTTTTGTGTTTATAGTGCAGCAAACATTTTACAATTCTCTGTGTATCAAATGGATACATGGATTTATTCTTATAAATGAAAAGCCCTAGAAGATCAGCCTGTTCCCAGGAATGGACTACACAGCAAGTCACTCCAGCATGGAGAATCTTACTATGCTTCAGCACACTCCCCTTCCCAATAATGACTCTTTGATCTGCTGCTTGTCCAGATAAATCAAAAACACAATCCCACTCAAATAGAAGTGGTCTTGTGTGCATATGCTACCTGGGAGACAAGCAAAGAGCACCATTACATGGATCATCAATCTGCCTGCTACAGGTGCTCAGCCTGGACAAAAAGCTGAAAACCTGTGCACAACAGCATAGAAACAAATCTGAACCCAAAGCACTTGGCTCTGTGTGGAATAATCCTGGCATTAATACAACTTTTTAGATTTCATGGAACTGAGATCTGAGTAAATTTGTCTTTTAGAAGGTTTTTGTTTAACAGGATTCTGCTCCTAAATAAATTGCAGATAGCTTCCAGTGGTTTAATGGAAGCAAGGGCACCAAAAAGTACTTTGCTTCAAGCCATAATGACATTGCTATTGATAGTAGTACAATGCACTCTCCTAATAATAAAAGTATCCCAAAAATTGATCTGGAATATATACTGCCCATTTTAGAAATAAGAAATTGAAAAACAGAGTTCAGATCATTTTGCCAGAACCTCAAAGTAAATTGGCAACAGGAAGCCAGAGAGAATTTAGCCATCCTGCATCTGTCAGTTATTGGAAACATGGAAGTTATTAAAATGGTGAGTGATCTGGTATCATGGCTGCAAATGGATATATAAAATAATATGTGGCCCCAGGGAGAGATTGTGCTCTCTTAGAGTTGAGATGAAGAAAGAAAAATAATTCAAAATTACATCTATTATATTTAGTGGAAATAGATATATGGAGAATAGAAGCTTTAAACACCAATTTAAATTTTAAGTGATTAAATTTTTATTACAGTTTTTCCACTGACAGATTGGGAAAAAAACCCAAACATTTTACTTCTCATTTTCCACAGAGCACTGAAGATTCAGCTATGAGGATTCATATCTCAAGTCCTATAATATTTCTTTTCTCCCATTCAAAGGGTGCTATTGCAAAGAAACTCCTATGAAGAAAGTGAAAAATACACACTAGTTCAAAACAATTGTTAATGGATTTATAGGCAGTATCTTGCACTGTGATTATTTTTAATAAACTGAAGATCAGTCAATTATTTCAGTAAAATATTTTTCTGGTGAGTGCACCAGGAAAATATGTATAAGTTCTACATGTTTGCAATAAAGTACTCTTCTGGGTTTCACACTCAACCATGCACATGAGCTTATTTTAAATAAAGTAAATAAGTGTGTACTGTATGTGAATCAGCCTAAGTGTTTTTTGCAGCATCAGGTCCTAAGTCATTACTTTAAACTGAGTCTATTAATACTCCTGATATTTAACTGTCAAGATATTCCCACTTTCAAGAATTTATTCTAGGAAGTTATTCTAAGGCTTATCTGTATCTATTTACTGAAGTGGTATACAAACACAGCAAAACCCGCTGCATTCATGCTTTGCAAACTCTTTTATTAATATATCTTGTTTTTTAAAAAAAATTCACCCTACTTCTTACGAATATAATACGTTGCCACCCTTTAAAGATTCCCCTGTTTAAATGGAGTGAGAATAGCTCCTTAATGAAAAGTGTGATTACAGCCTCTGACTAAAGAAATCAGCATGCAACATGTGACATGGAATAAACTGAATGCAGTGCCTGGCTGCTCATCTCACAGTCATCTTGTGTTCTGTTATTGCCATCCTTCAGGTAGGAGGGTTTCTGTTTGCCCCCCCCCGACCACATCCCTAGGATGACTGAGCACCTCAAAGGCAGGACTAAATTAAACAAGACAAAGTCTTCAAGCACTCAGGCAGTGCTACTTTCTCCATCCCCCAGACCCCAGCGTGAGCACCTGCACGGGCAGGCAGCCAGCAGTGCCAGAGGGAGCATCACCCCCAGGACTGTGCAGCTGCGACAGGGACCCCGTGACAAGGTTAGACTTGCAGGATTAAAGTCTTTGCAATTTATAGAAAGCCACCCACCAAATCAACAGAAAGAACAGGACTAGTGCCTGGGTGTCCCAAGCCCTAGTCAAAAATCTCACCTCCAAGCAGACCCTGTCTGTATTTCCTCACACAGGTCCCCAGATGTAAACAATATCACCCATTAATAAACATGCCCCAGTACATTCTAATGACAGTAGGCATTTCTTCCCTTTTTCCTTGGCTAAAGGATGAACTGTAAAAATCCCATTTAACTCCTTTCAAGCAAGAGGCAAACTCTGCATTTATGTTGCTGTCAAATTGCCACAGTGGGTGCATACAAAGTGAACATCATTACCTTTGCAGATACCAAATTCATCACCAAAGTCATCCTCCTCAGTGTAAAACTGACACTTCAGCCCAGGACCACACTTGACACCATCCATACCCGAGACAGTACGATAGCAAGTCTCCCCCAGAGCAGCTGCACACACTCTGCAGCAGCCACAGTCATCCAGCACTGTTCGCTTACAACGTGCGGTACTTTTGCATGCGTTACTGTCACAGGGATCAGGGCAATCTACTGCATATTTCGCACTCCAAGCAGCTCCAGCAGGCACGGGCATCAGGAGTAGTGTGAGGAACAGGAAGCCCTTCATGTCTTGCAGGGGTAAATGCTCCATCCCAGAGAGCAAGTCTCAGTGCTCAGCCTGCTGGTGCCTCTTGCCGAGGGAAGCAGCGGTACAGAATCCAAAGTGGTAGCTGCACACATCAACCTACAAGTTTATCAGCTTTATAAAGTGTGTTGCCCACATGTTGCACCGTCGTCAGCTTCCTCAATCCGGCAGTGCTGCTCCTGCCAGCCTCCCTTGTTTCAGTTTATGAAATCCAGGATGAAGGTTGGATTAGCACTCTGCTGCCATCCAGGAATTGAAAAGCCTGAGCTGATGTAATCTGTTATGTTTAGTTGGTTGTTTTGCATGAGGACTAAAAACTCTCTCACATCCGTTTCAAATGCTCAAGGACGTCTGCCAAGAGAAAAAAAAAAAAGAAAGATAAAAAAAACAATCAACCCCGAGGAGGTTGCATACCTTCCTGCAGGACAGAGATTGCTCTGATGCTGGGCACACTGCTGACAGGAGAGTCAGCTTGCTATCACAGCATGTATGGCCAGAAGAAAATCACACTGAATCATCTTACTGCTGAAAGAATAACCTTTAATAGAATAAATCTTTGCCATACTCTTTCGGGGGATGGTTTTTTGGGGGAATTAAATGAGATCATGTCATTTGATAGCCAAACTCAGATTTTTAAGTAGTTTGTCTGCCTGCATTGAAACAGTACTTTTTAATCAGTATTTAAGTGGAGGTGAATTAAACATTTTGCTCAAAGATTACTGCTAGAACTAAAGCTGGTCAGAAAAAAACCAATCCTTTTGGGGAGTCTTCCATAGGAAGTTCAGGAGAATGAGCAATGAGCTGCCCCAACTTCACAACCAAAGGGGAAATCCCCATCTATCATCAGCACTGTCTGCACAGCATTAACATAAATCCAGCGGGCTGATACTTCTCACTTTACACCACTTCTCTTCTGACAAACTCTATGAGATGCTCTGATGTTCTTCAATTAAATCCATGTAAATAAACAGAAAACAAATCTGTTTCACCCATCTCCTCTCTTACACTTTATTTATCCTGCCAGAGCCTTGACAAGAGACAGCAAACAAGTGGAGCCCAGTGAAACTGATGCTCCACTGGAGAGATGAAATTTTCTGCATTAAAAAAATCTACAGGAAAGGAAAAAGGGAATAAAGCTAGCCATAAATAAACCTCTGAATACCAAAAGTTGCTGCCAATGAAGTTAGTGGGAACCAAAGCAAACTGAACAGTGTATGACCAGCTTGTCATTTGGGAATCCTGTGTCTCAAGTGGGCTAAGGACATTGCCAGTAGGTTGCCAAGTAAAACAAAGGACTAGACTAGAAATACAGGAACAGTAGGAAAGCCTTTTCTTCATGAATGCAAATGTGAATTTATAAACCCAAAACCAAAATGCTCAACTCTTCTGTATTGTGAAGATGGGGAAAACAAATATACTGTATGTTTCATTTGGGTAAGGTGTTGTTTTGGGATGGGGAGGGGAGGGGACGGGAGGGGAGGGGCTGGCCAAGTATGTTTAACACTTGTCAAAACTCAATGTTTTATTTTTTTTAAAAAAAGGTAAAAAAATTAAAAAGTTAGGTTGAGGTCTCATATAAACCAAGGCATTACTATTGGTAAGGATGAGCTGAAAGCAATTAGCTCAATGAGTAGTGGACATCTTTATGTTCAAAATAAAAAGTATCTATCCTCTAAGAAGTAAAAGGAGTACTCCTAAGATGGAAATGAAAATTGCAGCCAAAACCAGATGAGGAACACAAGTTTAAGGTTATGATTAGGAGATCAATTAGAAATTGATGTCCTGTTCAAAAAAAAAAAAAAAAAAAGTCTGTTTAAAAAAATAAACGTCTGTTTAAAAAAAAAGCAGCCAGCCCAGTATTTCTTCATACTTCTCAGGTCAGCAGATATAAACCACTACCCATGTCTGCTGGCATAGAATTGACTAAAACTGACATTGGTTTATGTTTCTAGGTCAGGCTGTAAGCTGTGGGGCTGAGGAACCACTGTAAATCCCACTGGGCAATCCCTCATGTGGGAGAGAGATGCTAAGTTCAATCAGAGAACCAGGGAACACAGCTAGGCCAGTAACTCTCTCAATACTTGTGCCAGATCTGGTCCCAAGGGTGAAATAACAAAAAAAAGAGCTTTGCACACTTGGTACACCACAGGTCTGCAGCAGTAAGGAGCAGGAAGGCTCACCCTTAAATTAATCCACATCTGCACTTCAAACTCATACCTGCTTGCTCACTCAGAGGAGATAAGAGATGATGTGTAGAGTGCAGACCCATCCACACACATACCTAGATATTTATACTTGGTATCAACTACCAGCTGGTAAAATTCTATTCAGTAAATACTTCTAGGAAATGCTCCTTGTCTAAAACACCAAAGGACATCTGAAAGGGCTACATTTCACGTTTGTGTTTCTCACAGTAAAAATGTCCTAGAGAGATGATAAATAAAAAAAATTACACACAGATGTGGTGAGGAAAAGAAATTGTAAAAAGAATCAGTACACTCCCCTAGCAACTAGCCAATATTATTTTGAATAAGATGGAAACTGTATCCTATGCTTGGAGCTAGAGGCCAAAGTAAATTATTACAATGGATTAAAAAAATATATGTAATGGAAGAAAACAATATGAACAGATAAATATCTGGATTATACATTAATAGCATGGAAGAAATAAGGCTACTGTGATCTTCCACACTGTTCATTGATTAGATAGTGGAATAAATCCAGTGTCACTCTGGTTTTAATGTTTCTCTGTTGTTTTACCTGTTGAATCCATTAAGCTTTCCTTTCCAGTGAGAAGTTTAATCCTGTAAAACCCTGAATTAAGCTCTTCCATGAAAATTGATGCAATGGGAATTAATAAAGCTTCCCCAGATATTGACAGCAGAAAATTTGCCACCATTATTTAACTTGTGGTATAAATATATTTCAAAGGTCGAAGACCTTCTGGGCCAGATCACAGCTATTTTTTTCCCCAAATTTACAGCATAAATTGTCTTTTTGCCAGCTTACATCATAATTATATCACCATATATAAGGTCTGACACTCCTAGAAGCAGAAGAGAAGGTTTCAACTCTTGAGTTAGATGCTTCACAGGGAACCAACAATCTAATATCAGTGCATTGTGTTTCCAGCAGAACATTTCTGAGAACCATTTTTGCATTTCTTTTGTAAATAATTATTTCTCAAGCAAAACATATTGAGGTTGCATTTATGCCCTCTGAAAAGTGTGACTCCCACCTGTTAAAAATCCCCATGAAATGGCAATCTTCATGATACATGATTAGTCTGTGGTGGTATATGGGCACAGTTATGTGCTTTGTTCATTTTACTCTTCAGAAAGAGAAACATTCACCTTCAGTCTTCTCAATTTAAGCATTCTGGCCACTGTTAATATCCAGTCTTTTGAATGTACAAAGCTGGGATAAGCAGGAAGCACTAATATCTTTTTAAACATAGGAAAATATTTAATGCATGACCCTTGTTTCTAATTTCTAAAAGACAATCCCTAAACTAAAAATATGTTACCAAACATTCCTGAACAAACCAACCTTTTCCCAGGCTTCCTTTTCAAAAAGCTGTAAGCACAATGCTATATGAGAAGCAAAAATTCAAAGGGAAAACACCGAAAGGAAGCTGAGCTGCTAAGTCCAAAATGAAAAGCCAGAAATAGGAAGTAAGAGATAAGAATCAGGAAAGTGAGATAGCAGCAAGGACTCCCCTTTGTGTGATTTCTTTTCTTGTATCTTTTCAATGAATTGCTAATTACTCTTTGTTTCAGCTGTAGCATAGCAACTCCACTCTGGTAAAAATAGGTACTTTGGGACATTTCCTACTTGCTGAAGGCAAGAGATGTTTACATGCTTTCTCCAGGCAGACTAGGTGCTATGCAGAGACCTCGGTAGGCACAAATTCAGGAACCACCATAGAAATGACTGGATATGCTGGGTTACCTCAGCTTCTTTGGAGCACAGCAAAAATCTACTTGCCTCCACATGTGCAAATATGTGGCACGTTCAGCCTGGGAGCTGCTAGCCAAACCTACTGCATATGATTTATGCTCTCTCTGAATTTGCCATTGAAATGGAGCTGGATCCTGTCAGGTCTGGACTCAAGTGGCACCATCCTGTTCTTCCATGGGCTCCAGTCATGGTTGGCTCTGGTTGCAGGACCTCTGCCCTCTGTGGCCTCTTCACAGAACAGGTATTCAGTGATTTTACAATCACCATACTAATCTGCATAGCAGAAATCTCTGTCTTTCTCTCAATTCAGTTACAAATCAAGTGAAACAGTTCTTCTATTCTTGGAGTAGGTGTTCAGGAGGCAAAAAAAGTCACAGAGTGGTGTAAAATTTCTACTACTTTGTCGCTGTTGAGGCAGGATGGGAATAATGAAGACTCCAAGTCAGGAGGCAAGAAGAGAACTGATTTATTTCAAATACACTGCTCTTTTTATAGAGCACATCGTGCAGACCAATTTCATTTGTCTTACCATTGGTGCACTATGAATAGCACATGGTGGCAGAACATAGCTATAAACAATATTAACAACAAGAGAGATAATAAATTATTTACATGCCTTTCAGACTCTTTCCCAGGCTTAGCCTGGTAGAAATCTCTCCTTTTCTCTCTGACTGAACTGAGAATATCCACACTACATGGCAGTAAGGGTCAATTTTTTCCATGGTGGGCAAGTCTGGGTTTGTCACACCCAATAAATACATAGTTTATTAAAATGGGAAACATGATGAAAAAATATGTTGTGACTATGTTATGCTGATTTTTTTTTTTTCATACTTTCAAGACATCTACATTTCCAGAGGAAGAAAGGTGTTTCAGTGCCCAAGACCCCCAAGATCTATACCAAGGAATTTCAGTACAGTACAAGTAACTTTTCTATACTTCAGGAAATTTGCTTCTCTGAATACAATGGCTAGTCACTCACAGCCCAAAACTCTGCCTTCACACACACACATCAATACTTTTGTCTTTTGTGACACTTCTTGGTT